CTCTTTGTCTCTAGGCATAGGCATCCTTTGGCACACTACTGTTTATTCCTGTTAAATTATCATTGAAAGACAGAGAATTATTGTTGCAAAGAAGAGGAAAATATTCTGACTTTCAAAGATGTCAACAGAATTTTCCTCTTCATTTAGAAGATGATAAAGCTGACGGGGTATAGGCAGGTGAGTCCTATTTAATTTAATGTGGTCTACCTCCTGCTCCAAACTTACCAGAAGGAAATTTCAGCCCAGTTTTACAGTAGTATTATATTTAATCTACTCCCTGACACAGCCTTAATGCTGGAAGCACTGAGACTCAAAATACTGAATCTTAACGTTAAATTAGCTATGACAGGGTTCTTAAACTATGCTCTTGTGACTGGCAACTCAGAAATCTTCTCAGGGAGTCTAAAGATTTTTTTAATTATTTTTTTTTTTTTTAAATTTAAACAGTAGTGAGCAAGGAGTTATTAAGGAAGGCGTGCCAGGGAAGAATCTTCTGCGGTCATCTTGTCACTCAGAAAGGAAACATCATACAAGCACTGATTTTTAAGTGTATATAATATGTGCTAGCACTCACTAGTTTAATAAACACTTTGTTACCTCTAAAATGGTGCTAAACTATTGCAGTGCTAGCAAGAGAGCTGCTAGATCTAGAAATTTTGCCAGGATCATTTGGCTACTCACAGTTAGTGAGCTCCCATCCTGGGATTTCACAGCCCCTGTGTACTGGATGTGTTGATAGCACACCACGATGCTAGGCAGCATTTTTAATTCCGATTGTGTCTGGCTCTGCTTTTCTTTTCCTTATGTGCCGCTTCCTAAGTAGAAATGTTGTTACTAAGCATTTCAAATAGTTGTGTGAACATCACAAAGAGACATGTGAGGTCTAACAAAACATCCATATTATATAGAATTTGTGTTTACATATTATTTTACTATGTTATACTATACTGTACATCACTTTGTGGCCGTGCATGAAGCACATGCTTCATACTAAAACAAACATTTAAATGGCTTTGAGTTGAAAACCAACATTTGTAAGGAAAAGGATTTGTAATCTGATTTAATTGATTTATGTAATTGAAAAACAAACCACCACTGTTGTGTACTATGACTGACTCCTTTGTCTTCTACAAAATTTAATTTGTTTACATACCCTGCAGCCATACTGAGAGAACAGAAAAAATGGCAACTCCTCTTTGGGCCTATTTGAAAAAAAGAGTCAGGAAAGGGAGGATGAGAGTGGCCAGAGGGTTATGAGAAGGAAGAGATGAGTGCTCAGATAAAAAGCAGCCCAAGGGAAGATTACAAGTTCTCAGAAAAACAGATCAATAATGATGTCAACTATGCAGCTGCAAATGCAACTATTTGCATTTGGAAAACATTTTTCCCTACTACTTCACTATGCCCAGGGTATCTAGAACGCTCGCTGCAATAGATAAATCGCCTTTGAAAGAGCGGTATTTTAATGAAAAGTCAAGATCCTGAGGATGCCGCCCCATTTTTCAGTATAGGACTACAAGAAACACCAGCTTACCTTCCCCTCCTATTGCTTGCTCAGTAAGATGCAAGATCTGAGACTGCTCTAATTTACAAGTAACTCTCAAACAACTTTCCACTGATTTTGACTCCTCCCTTTTCCCTTTTACCTCCCTAGACCTTTTACCCTTTGGCTCCCTCGGGAAAGCCATGACGAATTTCCACCTGGAAATTTCAGTCTCAGTGTTAGGTAGTCTCTTTTTGTTGTTGTTGATGGCCTTTCCTCTCCACCCTCTTTCTCTTCACCACATTGAGACTTTTGACAAGGTCAAACAATTCATCTTTTTTACTATATTTATATCTGGGAAGCTCCCTTTAGTAGCATGATAGCATTTTGGATAGGACAGCTTGACAAAACAGTAGATAAGAAAGCACTTGGTGCAGAGACCTGGCCTGGTAAAATAAAACAGATTTAAAAAAAATGAAAACAGCCCAAGTGTTCATACAAAATAAGCACCGACTAGCTACGTGGGGATCTCTGACCACAGAATAAATACTACTTAATGGCTCCACAAAATAAAAGCTACCCTAGGCAACACTCTATACATTATCTTGCCAGCTTATTGAAACAGACATAAAGTGGCTTTGTTGTATATTTTGCACTCAGGACTGCAGTAAAGGCTAGCACCAAAAGAAGACATGAAGTGCAAATGCAATGAATGAGGGATGACCGAGTCAAAGAAAGTCAATAAACATTAACTGGAAGGAATAAACTCAAGGGCCAATGAAAGCAGTCCTGTCTAGTTGAATATATTGGTTGAATATATTAGAAGATAAGTGAAAGACACAGACACAAAGAAGTGAAACCTGAATGCTGATAGTACTTACTGGCAATATGATGATAAAGTGATCAAGAGATCTGAAATAAGTTAGCAAGGAAGTCCTGAAAAAGAGGGAATTGCAGAAAACGAAAAACGGAAATGAAGATGATGGGTTAAAAAATTGGCGATCAAGTATTTGAAAGCAAGTGCAAAAAATAGTAATGGAAACCTGTCTGGGAAAGAAAAAAGTACATCTACCAGCACGAGAAAGGTAGACAGAATGCTATAGCAATAGTTGTTACAGAAAGATGGAAAGTTAAATTAAAGGAGGCAATGGCTTCTCTGGGCTCAAGTCAGAATGCTGACTACTCTGCGCAAGAACAAGTGTTTGCTTATGAGATGATATGATCCAATGCTTATGGTGTGACACTATCCCAAGGAAGATTGGTATCAATGTGAATTAAATCTACACAAAGGCTCTGGAGGAGTGTGGAGTTTAAACTTTAGTTCTTTGCTACTCTTATTTACATTTACATTCAATGTGTTATCTTATCTAGAAAGAATCAAATTACTTTAAGGTCAAGTAGTCCAGATGTGGTTTTGATTGAAGAGTATCACAAATCATCTGGTAAAGCAACTGCACAATGAATAGGTGCTTGCTACACAGAATGTCAGCTTATAAGACTATCACCTCCAATTCATAATCTTCCTCTGAAACTGTACCTCCCAAATCTTGATTTTATACTGATTTCCACAGCAACCCAGAATTTAGAAGTGTACCTGGTGACTGTGCGAGCAGTCTGGCTATCCCAATTTCATGCACACAGGCCATATAATTTCTTTTCATGAAAAACTTTGGGAGGAGTTTTAAAGGTTGACTTTGAAAAATCTTGTCTTTCATAGGCTATTTCAAAAGACCATTGGGAAGTGTGGCTAAATGAATTCTGGATATGATTTATGGTCATCTGAGACTACTTTAAGCTATTTCCATGGGAGCAGTTTGCTACTGGGTTCCCTACTGCTTGGGACTCCATAAGGCATGGAGTATTCCCAGCCATACCCTTACTCTTGTTTAACCCACCCATAACCCTTCTATACTTATAACCGACAATCCAAACACCTGTAATCTTTGTCAAGGGAGTTAATGCTGGGTGATGGAGTCAGCTGTGTAAGCTTTGCCTCCTTCTTGGGGACCTCTCCGAGAGAGTCCTTTGCCAGACCAATAGCACAGGCTTCCTTTATCACATCCTTCTATGGGGACAGTATGAATGGGCTGGAGCTGATCCTTGAGAATTTTCTTCTTTTCGTTCCTCCAGGGGACATAAATGTAGGATTGAGGATTTTTTTAACTATGAAAATGCCACCCCACCACCCCCATCTAGTGATACACAGAGCCACAGCTTCAAAGATAACAACATTCTTTCACTTGCCTTTCCTGCTTTGCCTTTCTGGCACAAGGAGAAATCCTTGTTTTTGAAGTGTTGTTAGCCTTCAAGAGTGAATCGTCTGAATCTGTTTTTCCTTATTATTTATTAGAATTCTCACAGCAACTGACCTCCAAATGTAGCACAGGTAGTAAAAGCTGTAATAATATCAACCCTAGGTGTTTCTTTGCATTTGCATTAGTAAAGCAGATCCTAAAAAGTTAGTAACATAAGAAGTTATTCAATGTCAGCAAAACCTCAGAAATATGTACAACAGAATAACCTCTACATTAGAATCATGTTTTTCACCTGATTGTCGAGTTGAGGGGTTTCTCCCGTGCACTACCAAGGGCCATCAAAATCTCTTTCCTACTTGTCCTTTTATCCCTGACTGTGGAGATTCATTTGAAAATACCTTGATGACTCTTATCCACAAAACTTCCTTATCTAACCATATATGAATCACTTTGAAAGGAGCCGCATTTCTCTTAGCAACCAAAGAATTGGTCTTAGCAACAAGACAGCAGGAGAATTTTGTTTTCACATAGTTGCTCACGGACAGTACGTTCTGCTTTCTGCTTTCCCATGGCATTGCTGTTTCAGTGTTGACTTAGTATTGTGTAAGAAAGGGTACAAATCATACACTTGCTCATAGCAAAGACATCACTTGCAGGGCAGATGACGATCTTTATACCTTTTATGCTGTTTCCTTTAGTAGATAGTGCAAGAGTACTGACTGCTGGAAAGCTCAAAATTTAAATTTTCCCCATGACAGAATTACTACAAAGAAATGCGTGAGGAAGCTGACAGTTTCCAAAACCTTGACTTCCCCCACAGAAACCATAGTGGAGATTCAAAGTATTAGCTCTAAAGGCTCACATTCCAGCATCTCTTAGCATCTGTTCATGTTGAGAACAGTTAGAAAGGCTGGATATAAGGTGAGTTTTATATATATAATTCCTGTATTTTCTTAGCAAGAATAATTTTGGGAGAAATATTATAGTGGGGGAAACTGGGAACATCAGAGCAATTGACATTCTGGTTATTACTTGGGCTGATGTCTTTCAGGACTGTTGGGGAAGCTTCCTGAGGAAGCAATGGTAAGGTGGCATTTATGAACAGAGCAGTGTTGTAGTAGTTTCCATCTCTCAATCCCACATCTGTGTAAGGAAATGAGTTACCATATGTATTTTGATCCTATTAAGAAATTCCAAGTGCAGGTAGAAGTAGTAAATGCACTCACACCTCACCCATGTTCCTTCTCTGTCTCCTCCTGTAGGGGCTGTTGGCATACTGCATGCCGGTTTGATTCCCTTACTTGTATTCAAATTGAAGACTGAGTCGGATGGAATCCAGGAGCTAATCCTAGATACACTCTCCAACTGCTTGCGTGTGGAGGCTTCTGAAGCTCTAGCAACTGGTGCCATTACTGTCCTGAAGGAAAAGCTCACACACTCATCAGTGGCCATCAGAAGCAAAGCAGCTTGGGTCCTGTTAGAGATTGGGTAAAGTAAAAGAAATCTGTCTATAATACTTAAGCCCAAGAAAATACTCATTTCATGAGTGAATCAGTGTCATTAGTTTACAGTTGTGTTCCACTACACATTGAAGCTGTCACATTTCACATGTAAAGTGGTATCAGCCTGAATGCACACATAGGTAGAAGACTTCTAAAAATCATAACTGCTATAAATCACTCAAGAAAGCAGATGCTGATGAGGAAATGTCATTCCTTCTCCTTCTATTTGTCTTCAGTATTGGCAGTGAAATCAGGATTTTTTTGCCTGGTACAGCACTGCTGAGAAAAAATTCTTGCATGAGAAATCATGTGAAAACAAGATTCTGACCACTATGGAGGTAGGGAGAAGCTCCCTTACTTTTTTGGACAACCGCTCTCTCTCAAACAATTAAAAGACCTGGGAAACTTTCAGTGTGATTGAGGACAGAAATAGTTTTCTGACACAGGCTGTTACATACATCAGTGATAGATCAGAAAAAGCAATCTTTATATTAAATTTGTGTGTCAAACACTGGATGAAAGGAACAACTTAAGTCCACTGCCCTGCAATCACAAAATATAATAGAAGTTCTCAACAGATGTCTAGTTTAAAAAGGGCTGCAGATCATGTAGTTTACAAACCAATTGGCACAAAACACTTCATAATGTCCTATATACAAAGTGGGGTCTTACAGGAAAAGAAAGAGTATAGATAAAATGAGTCATAGAAAGAAAGCAGAAATGCACCTAGACTATGGACATCAGCTATGCTCTAGGTCCCTCAGTAGCTGGGCCATGTTAAATATTGCCCACATTAAAGAGGCTGGAAATAAAGAGAGAAAACTGACCTGGGAGACAAATTAATTGCAGACTCCTAATTTAGCAGGTTTTAAAATCTGTATAGGGTTCAACAGCCAGGTTTCTAACTAAATTGCCCTTAGGACCACCAGCACACTTAATCCTACATCCTGTCACATGCTGTTGTCCATCAATCTCCAGTGTATCATAGAAAGTAAAAATCACCTAAAAATAGCCTAAAAAATTGTTAAGCCCACACACATAGGTTAATATGATATCATCAGTATTGTATCAGCAAGCAGATTTAATAGACACCAGGCACAAACAGACATCCCCTTTCTTTTCTTTGTGGCTGGGTAGTGACGCTTGCCATCTGTCTAACAGTCAGAACATTGTGACTCCAAAGAAAACAGAGATGAGGACTGTGTCAGCACTGTTGTCATGAAACGAAGGATGGCTGCAGGGGTCCAGGCATGGGGAGAAGCTGTAGGTAGCTGCCTGGTTAGCAGACGCAGTTCAAGAAAGCATCTTAACCATCTTTTCTGCACAGTACTCATCCAGAGGGAAAAAGCGTGGTATGTGAAGAAGTTATTCCCGTGCTGGTGAGCCTGTTGGAAGATACAGATCCTGAAGTCCAAGCTAGCGCAACAGGAGCACTGATGTTTGCTACTGTTAAACCTCAGGGTGAGAGACAGAGGCAGTTCTGTGGGGATACTTTCTGGAAATCCAATTCTAAGACAACTTAGTAACAAAACTTTTTCCCTCTTCCCCCCCCCCCCCCCCCCACCCCCCCCCCCCCCCCTCACGGCATACAACATCCGCCACGTAGATCTGTCTCGAGCAAGTATTGTTACTCCCTCATAGTGTCTAGGGGAGACAGTATATTTCACATTTCATTCACCTGAAGTAGGTCAAGAAGTTTTATCTTCCCCACCTGCGCCATTTCCCTCCAGAGTGCTGCTCCAGAAGGGGAACATTTTCTGTGTTAAGTCCAGACCACACAGAGATCCACATACCTGAAGCTACTCTGAATCACCAGTCCTCAGCAGAGGAGCACTACTTTCTGGAAACTCTTTTTGTGGTTAGAGGCGGTTTCTCTCTCACAGCTGGGAGAGGAATGAATATTAATAAGGTCTGTAGTTCTCCCAAGTAAGTTACATGACACTGAAAATACTAACTGCTAAATTTTCAGTGTGATGAATGAGTAATTAGACATAAAAGAATCTTAATAACAGCAATTGTGTTCCAGTCCTCCTCTGCAACCGTCCCCCTGGCTTCCGAAGACAACACAGGAGTGGATCTCAGTGTTTGAAGTGTCTTTAAAAATAAAAGAATGGAGGATATTCTTAAGGGCATCTAACCCCCCCCAAATAGTTTATCCTATCATTCAGTGCCTCATATATTCTTAGGTAATTTGTTGCAAATGAAATAGTAATGTGCAAAGCAGATAAAGTTAACTAAGAAAGATCTTTTTTCTTAAAAATAAACAGCTGGCAGCTAGCTTTGGTCTTCAAAGGAAAAGCATGTCCTACCTCTGCGCACTGCACCCTCCGGGGTGTTCAGAGCTGTAGCTCAGCAGGGAGTAGAAAGTAACAATTCAAAAGCATGTTGATTACGTGTAATAACACATTTTAAAGCCAGTTTATTTCTCTACAGGGAGATTCTCAGCCCTACGTGCTGAAGCCATTCCACCTTTACTGAAGTTGGCTGCTGAGGAAACCAGCAAAGCCCGTCTGAGTGCAATCAAAACCCTCACCATGCTGGCTGAGCTACCAGAGGGCCGCAAGACACTCCTTGAACATACAGATACATTTCAGCAGTGTCTGAATGATCCCTGTGAGGCAGTGAAAAGAGCTGCCAAAATTGCTATCAGTGTCATCAAATGGAAACCTTTCTGAAGACGTGATGTTTCATAGGGATCTATTGCCCTCTGTTGTTGTCTGGCTGTAAAAGTTGCATGATTATATGAGACCTTCAAAAGCAAAACTCTCTTCCTCGATTACTCTGGATCAGTTCCTCCTGAAAAGTCATTTGTCAACAGTTTCACATGTACATTGCAGGTCACGAGCAGAATAATTGGGAAGAAGAAAAGTTAGGAAGTCTAGAATTCTCCACTAGGAGTTATTTCCTGAGTTATCAAGATTTTCCTGCGATACAAGAAACCAATCCTTTTGTTTTCTTCATAATGTTCTCTCCTTTCTTTTTTTTTTTTAAATCTCAGCCTATCAAACATTAATCAATAACTAATTATATTAGAAAGGTAGGTTCGTAATTGACCTCTCCAGCAGTCTTGTCTATGCTGAGAAATTGACCTAACGACAGGAATTTACATGAGTTTTGCTGCAAACATTTATTGAACATGGGATGAGAACCATTTAGGGCATCATCACAGAAAAAGCAATGGCAATGTCATGGAAGGGCTTCCCCTAGAGAATTACGAGACTTCCCCAGCCTAAAATATAACTAAATACTTATCAGCACGGTTCTAACAAATGGAGTTGCTGACAAGACTTGCCAGCGGTGAATCTGGTGGAGCCGGACCCCGCTGCCCTAGGCTAAGAGCACCTCAGCATAACCCTATCCCTGTGATGAGATGTATCCATGCGGCACTCCAAAACCCCCAGCTAATGGCTTCTTGAGGAGAGTTTTAGTAACAGCCCTTGCTTTACTTTGCAGCCCCTTCCAAGCCCCGCTCTTGCTGTATGTGTCAGCAGCCTCTCCCTGAGCCTTAGCTGCAGCGATTGCTCCTGTGTTTTTAAGCTGGTGAGGATCTCAGCAGGCAGGTTTTCTCCTGTGTGCTTGAAACCAGGCTCAGGGCTGCCGTGTGCAGTTGTCTACACTTAGGGTAAAAGGAAAATAAGTCAGGAAGACTTTACTAGGGTAGCCCTTGGTAAAGCTCTGTTGGGGGCAGACCCCGCTGCCTCTAACAGAAGAGGGGTCTGACCCCTATCTGAAATTGGTTACAGTATGGAACAAAAGTGCCTCTGTGTTTGTGCTATACTTGGTATTTTGTAGTTTTGTACAGCTGTAATCTATCCTTTGAGTACAAAAATTAACAAATGTAATGGAAATGGAAGTGTTGTGCCAGAACTGAAGAGTTTTGCCATTGTGCTCGCTTTTGAGAGAGAAGGAGGGGGCGAAAGGAAAGTTGATCCTAATGTTATGGTCTAGTCCAACAGGAGTTCAACAGGATGATCTCCAGAGGTCCCTTCCAACCTCGAGTATTCTATGGTTAACAGCGGCCTAAACAGAGAGGTGAGGAGATAAACAGAACAGAGAACTGAAAATGTTCCCTATTTTGGAAAAAATTGTTGGTTTTTTTTTCTTTAAAAAAACTCAACAGTTTTTAAAAAAAAAACCCAAAACTTTAACTTCATAGAATTGAGAATAACATAGAAAGTTCAAGCTGTTTGTAGAAGCAAGCCTGTCCAACAAGACATAAATTGCCTGAAGGAAATACGGTAGTTCCTGTGTTTAGAGTTGATAGGCAGCTGAAATGGTGGGAAGTTCAGTAGCATTTTACTCACTGTGTAGTCAAGGCAGGTCACTAAGGATATGTTGCAAATTTCTCTGCCTGGGGTTGCAAGTGTGTAATTTAAGAGACACCAACAGAAGGCCTGGGCAAAGAAATAAAGCAAGCTAGCAGGACAAATCCTGGCCATCCTGAGCGACCAAGAAAGGTGTCATAGTGCAGCTGACAGCTCCACAGGAAGTCCCATTTGTTTTCACTCAGGTTTTACTCTCACGTGGTATTTTTATATCTAGAAGTTACCAAGTTGTAGCTACGAAGAAGCTGCATCATCTGTATAAAGGGGTTATTTGTCAGGGCTGCTTTTCCTCTGCGGAAACCCACTGTCACACTGCAAACTGCATTACCCTTATACAAAGCATAAACTTATTCTGTAGGAGTGATTAAAGTTACAATGTTTCTCTTCCATAACCTAACCAAAGGGTGAATTTCCTCTCCTATAAAGATGTGATTTACAAGTATTGAGTCAGTTGAATTCATTCCCTCTGGGCAGGATCTTGGAGGAGCTCTGCCTTTTAAACACACTTTACATACATAAGGCACTCACACGTAATACATACTGATGCCAGAGTGCATCCATTCAATAAAAGAGAGCCAGGCAGCTTAATAACATGCTAAATATTCGGTAAAGGACTAGGGGACAACAGAGAATGGTAGGCTCAGCTAGACTTGCAAAACTGCTGCAGGAAAATGCAGTAACTGATCATTTTTAGCTCAGTTCCAAACTTCTGTCACAGCCTTCCCTAATAATTCAGGTATCACAGTTCAACAAGTTCGCAAAATAAATAGCTTGTTCAGATGTAGAAATAAGACCATCCAGACTGAACTGCTCCGACTAGAAGAAATTTAGCTGACTTGGACCTTAAGCACTGCATTCTGAGCATCTGCCTGATCATCGCTTTAAAGACAATACAAACTGTTTCCAAATAAGGCTCTATATGGTATCAATGTTCTTGTCTTACATACACGCACAATACAAAAATGGAACAAAGCCTTAACTGAACTCTGAAATACGGCTGCTAGTGGTACCCCTTCCGCATGCCAGCTTTTGTCTCCGCAATTCTTTGGCACTATTACATCTGACAACATAAAATATGGTATTTCAATCACAACAGTAATTCCGTTTGGCTGTATTGACCACGTACTGCCTATATAAACACCAAAATTCAAAGTCTGCATACAGAACAGCCATGAACCATTATTAATTTTTTTTTAAACTTATAAAGCTATATTTACCGACAAAAAGGTTGCAGATATTATAATTCAAATTCACATGCTCAGGTGTGGTGCAGCTTGCTGCAGTTTATTGGAAGGACTGCAGATGACAAATGTTTGCAGGAGCACAGCACAGCGTATGACCATGGTGGCAGAGTTACACAGCCTAGGTGAAGCATAGGCTGCTACAGAGAACACGAGCTAATGCAGAAATAATCCCATTTATTGCAGAACACTGTTTTGTAATCTGTGGTGTTTCTAGAGCTGTATTATCTTGGCGTCCAAATGTTTGGTGTCTCATACTGGGTTACACTGCAGGAGGCCAGTGCAGGAGAGTGTACAGCACAGGCACAGTGCAGCAAACCCCGTCACAGCGTGGGAGACAAGGGAACAATGCACAGATCTACCTGATACAGCAAAGAAATATCACATTATCTCCTCTGTAATCCTGACTATACGGAACCTGAATTACGAGGTAAGTTTTTATTCTACAAAATCATTTTTCAGGGTATATTAAAATGTAACACACAATTGCTCCCATAGTAATATGCTGATTCTTAAATCTCCTTCCTAAAATGCATTTCTCAGCCACAGTTCGACAGCTGAAACGTCCCTTCACATTGTTCAGAAAGACCTTTGAGATCTCAAATGTAATTGAAATTAGCCAAATGGGTAAAACTCCTAAGTAAATGTCCCAACGTGGGTTTTTTTCCCTGGGAAAATGTAGATGTGCTTTCTTTTTATGTTATTTGGCAGGAAATGACATGTCCTGTTTTATTAGATGACATAACAAAAAAGGAAGAAATACAATTTTATAGGGCTTATACTATAGGGCACCCATATATTTAGTAACAAGGCACAAAACCAGCATGTAGATATCAAGACTGTCAGTTAACAGTTACTAAGATGTCCAGTAATTTTTGGGATATGTTTCAGTGTATTTCTGAATCTCCCTGTTAAAGCAGCGACTATAAGATGGGAGATGAGATTACAGCTCTGAAATAGTAGTTGTGAAATCAAAGCAATCAAGAATAAATCCTTGAAAAAATTTTCACAAACAGAGAAACCGATGGTGAAAAAAGGAAATATCCAAGTTGACGCAAAACATATTTGGAAGAGAGGCAAAAAACAACCCAGTGGCATGAACAGAAATTATAGGGAAAAAAAGAATGTAGTGGAAAATATATAGCATAAGCCTGGATTTCTAGATTTGGAATTCTCAGCACTCTTATTCATTGTTAAACTAACTTTGATTCTATAATTTAGCAAATAATCCTTTAATGAATTTTCATATCTAAAAAAAAATATCCTTATGATTAAGGATTTTCTTTTTCTTCTGAGGTACACTCAGTCTTGAAACAAAGGGGAACAAGATGTACTGAAGTTACAGTAACACTGATTTATAAATCAGGTTGGAGTTAACCCAAGATACCCTTTGGCCCTACCGGTATTTGGGCTTCTGTCAGTTACTACTTAACTGCCGAGTACAGCGTTGCCCTTAGGATAGTGCACAAAATGAAAAATGCATCCTAAAATTCTTCTAGTACTGGCACTCTGATAAAATGAAAAGGTCACCTGTCCCAGCAAGTCCAAGGGCAGGAACAGTTTGGGTCATGTTCCCCGTGAACTTCACCAACAAGATGATGACATTGATGTTACATGATGCTAAGTGGGCAACCTGCAGCACCAATAGTTTTCTACGGGCATTCTCTCCTTTCTCAAATTAGGACGAGTTTTCTGACCCAAGTCACAGATTTAGTCCTGAGACGTGCTTGCTGGCTTTGCAGTTGTCTTGGTGTTGAACGTTCATTCAACATGCAGCTGAGGACTGAGGACCAGGGACAGTACTGAAATACAATGCGCACGGGGAGTGCCATGGCTGTCTATAGCTTTGGAATGAGACACAACAGTCCCTAATTTGTGAGGCCGGGCAATTAATTAGCACGCTAGGTGTCAATAAAACAATTAGCTGGATCAAAGAAACACAGCTGATGAATGCTTCCCCTTGGACTGACTTAGCTTTCAGTCGAGTATACTCCATAATAAGCTGCCACAGACTTGGTCATAAAAATGCTAAAGATCCTTTTGAATTGCTTCATACACATTATAAATACTTAAATTAACATGTCAGGATCTGGCACTCATACACTATAATTAAACTCATTGTTTCAAAAGAAATGCTGTGTATACAGCAAGTCTTGGGTTTTAGCGCTATACGCTCCACAGTGCGCTACACTACGATGACATTAGCACCTAGGCTGACTTTCAACATCAATGAAAAATGGTTTGTCTTTTTAGCTTGAAGCCAACAATGATTAAGGCCCAGATATAATTAATGTGGTCCTGAGTCAATACTGGAATTAATTCAGTTACACTCTACACAGACCAAGTTTTCAAATCAGCTGCCTAACAATGGCAGCTATTCTCCTGCGATACCAGGAGAAGACAAGACAGCTGCGTTCATAGGAAACAAGACCTTCTTGCATAAGCCTTGTGTCCCACCCAGGCAGAGCTCATTTTGAATGCACAAGGGTTTATATTAGTTTTTTGTAACAGTTTCCAGAAGGTTAAGAACATTATGGCTCTTTGTTCTTGCAACTACAGACTCATTTCCCTGTCCCCATTTGTTTTCAGATGTCCAGGAGTTGGAAACCATTCTGTCCTGCTCTGGAAAATGACAGCTTTTAATTCTATCGCTTCATGTTCCAAAGCAGGGAGTATTTTTGCTTCCCACCACTACATTTTCTATTTTAAAAATAATAATGATAATAATAAAAATCATATTAAAGTGCATAGAAGTGAGAGATTTGTCTAAGGGCAAAATAAAGAGTCTGGGAAAGTCAGATTTGGCTAATTACAATAAACCAGAAGGGCAGAATGTCTTTTCTGTGGCTACACACAAAACTAATATGCTAAGTGCCGGGTCCTGCACTTTGGCCACAACAACCCCATGCAGCGCTACAGGCTTGGGGAAGAGTGGCTGGAAAGCTGCCTGGCGGAAAAGGACCTGGGGGTGTTGGTCGACAGCCGGCTGAACATGAGCCGGCAGTGTGCCCAGGCGGCCAAGAAGCATCCTGGCTTGTGTCAGAAACAGTGTGGCCAGCAGGAGTAGGGAAGTGATCGTCGCCCTGCACTTGGCACTGGTGAGGCCGCACCTCGAATACTGTGTTCCGTTTTGGGCCGCTCACTGCAAGAAAGACACTGAGGTGCCGGAGCGTGTCCAAAGAAGAGCAACGAAGCTGGTGAGGGGTCTGGAGAACAAGTCTTATGAGGAGCAGCTGAGGGAACTGGGGTTGTTTAGCCTGGAGAAAAGGAGGCTGAGGGGAGACCTCATCGCTCTCTACAACCACCTGAAAGGAAGTTGTAGTGAGGTGGGTGTCAGTCTCTTCTCCCAAGTAACAAGCGATAGGATGAGAGGAAACAGCCTCAAGTTGTGCCAGGGGAGGTTTAGGTTGGACATGAGGAAAAATTTCTTCACCGAAAGGGTTATCAAGCATTGGAACAGCTGCCCAGGGAAGTGACTGAGTCACCATCCCTGGAGGTATTTAAAAGACATGTAGATGTGGTGCTTAGGGACATGGTTTACTGGTGGACTCGGCAGTGCTAGGTTAACAGTTGGACTTGATGATCTTAAAGGTCTTTTCCAACCTAAAGGATTCCATGATTCTATGAAAAGTTCAAGCACAGGACCTAGTTTTAGCAAGACAAAATTTGTAATTTGAACGAATGGAAACCTTTGTAATAATTTGTCTTAAGACACTTTGAATATATGCTAAGTTTTTAAAGTTATAGGCTCTGATACTGTAAAGAAAAATGCTGTACAGAGTAAGGATGAGCTCACACTTACCTCAGCTTGAAGTTCTTCCAGGTACTTTAAGAGAAGTAGGGGAGCTGCTGGTACGGCGCACGCACAGCTGCTCTAGCCTTAAGCACTGCCAGGTGAGGAGAGGATGGGCACAAGAGCTCCAGGGAAATTCTTCTTTTTCTCAGCTTCCCATGGTAGATGACAGCAAGATGGAGTGTTCTTCAGGAGGGACAAAAAAGCCAACCTATTTTATTAATAATAAGGGTAATAACCTCAGGTACTGGTTATACTGTCTTTCATCAGAACAACTAGTAGATATTGGAGTGAGTGCAGTTTTACTCCATTCTTTAAGTTCTCTAGAACAGGCCTGCAATACATAGTCCATGAAAAAAATGCCATGAATCGCCAGCTAAAAACTGGGGGGTTTTTTTTGCATTTCTCATCTTTCTTAGTGATATATTGCCCCCTGTTGTTAAATCTGTGATGCTGTATTTTAAGTTAAACAGAAGGGAAGTTCTAATCGCTGCTGTCCTCCCTCGCTTTCTTGCTAACCACATAGTAACACTGCAGGTGCAGGACACAGAGACCTGCAGCTAGGATGTAAGACCATTAAATAAGGTTAAAAAAAAATAGCAGCCTTCCTCAGAACAGCTTTGCTGTGACCCCACAGCCTGTGAACAACTCTTCTCTGTGCCGTGTGACTGCCTGTCCCCAGGAATATCAGCTTTAAGCTCTCCTCCAGCTTGATGCTTCCAACCAATGAATTCAAGTGTTCTTCAAAGACAATAACCAAGGCTCTATAGCTTTTCTCCCAAATGCCAGTCACCGCTGGTGATGCATATATTTATCATTACTCTTTGCTCTTTATTTTTGTGTCAGCTTTTACTTCATATAAATGGTTCTAATTTTGCCAGTTAAGAAAGTGATCTGAGGAGGAGTTGAGCCAATTAGCAATTGCAGCTGCTGATGGTGCTCTGGTCATGGCAATCACTTACCCCTGAAGAACTCGGCCTTGTGCTATGTCCTAATTCACCATGGACAGACATTTTGGTTAAAACCAAACCATGGTTACTGCAGACGTATTCCAAATTAAGCCACAGACCTTCCCTCCCCCAATGACTGTTGCATTTCAGTGCATGAGCTTTTTCAATAACAGAACAGGAATAAAACCAAATTCTGAGTTCTAAGAACAGAGTGTTCTCATGATCATTAATAATTAACATCTGTGAGATACTTGATACAGAAAAATGAAAACATAAACGAAGAGTGGTTACCCTTTTTCAGGACTTGGCCTGAAACTTATGTAGTAATTGATCTAGTTGAAGATGTCCCTGCCCACGGCAGGGGGGTTGGACTAGATGACCTTTAGAGGTCCCTTCCAACCCAAACTACTCTATGATTCTAATTCTTAAATGGAAGATCTCTGATTTGTTTAGCGTGCATTCTTTATATATCAGTGTTGCAACTGGCTTACAGTGCTACTAGGTGAATTTTTTATTTTATTTTGTGCAGTTCATTTAAAATAATTCTGTATATCTAACTAAAGTCCACTAAAATAAGCTGTAACCCTATATCTTACCTGACAGGATAAGCTGGGATGTCTCAGCATCACCTAAAATAGAATTGTGTTATGCTGTACATGCCGTGTGTGTATTGTGCTATTAGCCAGAGATATACCTGGAGTCTCTCCACTAACCAGAAGTATTTCAAATTTACACTCAAATGTGGGAAACAAGCACGTGCTCACTGTTCCCATTTCTAAAGCATGAGAATGCCCGGGACACCGTAGGCTACTTTTTGGGTTTTGTCTGATAGTGTCCCACAGCAACAGCTGTTACATGGACAGAGTTCCCCTGAGAACTGAAGAAAAGTCACTTTCTTCCTTAAAATCATGAAACTGCCTTTGAATGCAATAGCTACCAACCTGAGGTGGCATTTAACTATTAATCTAAACATAAAAAGTTTTGTCAGCTGTCCACAATATCAGGCAATTTTTCTATGAAATTCCACAAAATTAGAGGAGTACTCTAAGCAGCAGTCAAACTTCATGCAAACATTTGAACTCTGCCCTCCACAACATCCAGTTTTCAGACCGGAATGAAAGCAGGTTCCTGAGGATGTACAGTGAACGTCCCTGGGAAACTGAATTAGTTTTTCAAAATACTTTAATCCTGGGAAGGAAAATAAAGTGACGGTGCCTGATTAACCAGGAGGTCATCTAGAGGCTGCTCAACCTGCCAGGAAATCATTTGTGTTATTTGCCTTTATCCAAATGGTTGTAGAATTTCACCATATTTTTATTTTTGTAACAAAGCATGACAAAGAGGGATCTGGGCAATCCTCATTAAAGTCTCTTGTTTGTCATCCATTCCTATTACTCAGAGCCAAAATCTAGACAGCAAATTAAGTTTCACTGTCTTCCATCATATTATAGAAAAATCTCATCATTTTGTGGACACCAAATACTTCAAAATATACAAATACTTTAATACATACAAGTCTTCATACTCCATTAAATATAATTAATTCCATGGTCTTTAAAATACTCTGTCACTGTATTAACTGTAAGAAAAAAGTTTGCACAGGTATTTATATAGTATTGACTTGATCTGGCCTATGCAAAACCTTTCAGTATACTGCAGGGATTATACTGAAGAGCAGCAATTCTACTAGAATCCAGAGCATTTTGGTTTAGGTCCAAATGAAGAAAAGATACTGTCAGAAGATTATGAAGTGAGAGTGATTAAAGCTGCAGGAGTCGGCAACAGTGTGGTGTAGCACATACAGAGAGACTACACTGGCTTCCTATTTAGATGCACTCATTGCAAGCCCGGTGCATCCTGCTGTGGAATACTGAAATGCTTTGAGACAATGCAGCACCCCACGATACGTGTGCAACAGGAACAAGGAATCGTGGTGCAGCTTGGCTATGGCAACCGATGTCGTCTTCTTACACTTGATTCCCCAGGAAGCTGAATTAGATTACAAGATCTATTGCTTTTTGCTCTGAAGTGTTAAATCCATCTTTTCCTGTACCTCCAGCTGGTATCAAACTTATCAAGTGGCGACAATCAGACTGGTTTAGCTGATATCCCACAGCTGTGACTATTGTCCTTCATGAACTGTTAACTCGTAC